CTATGTGTATGTTAGTCTCTTCAGACTTCATTACGTATTGCTCAAATCGCTCTTGCCTTCTGGCAACATAATGAGCAAACAATGTTATGAATTTGTAATTTATGTATGTCACACAGCAATGGGTCCACATGTTGGAATCCAGGGATAAAATTAAGCTATTGTGGTAATGGCCCCGCTGAAGCCTTCTGTAATTTAAGGTGATGTGTTTGTTTTTAAAATCAATTTTGTTTTTTTTTCTGCCTTTGTCTCGATATGTTTACCCGGCAAAGAAGAACAATGAAATTCAAAGCGCTGTCTAGACTCCTTTGTTTTTTTCGATGTTGTTGTTGTTGCTTTGTTTGGTATTAAGCTAAACATCAAATGCTAAAGGGGATTGCAAATCAATATGGAAATTTGTTGAAACGCAATGATTATAAAGGTTGCTAACGAGCGACATGTGACACTGGAAAAGTGGTGAGAGAAAATACATTAAAGCGATTAAGTCATCGGTATCTCATATCAATAATGTTTTATAAATTACCGAGTAACGTGTTTTACATACAATGTCGAGTTTGATTGATGACTAGTGCGTTTTTAATATAATCAGTTTTTGTGATGTGGGGGCTAAATATATGAATAAATGTAGTTGGAGTTAATCTGACGTAGAAAAGAAAAATAGCTGGGTTTTAAAAGTAATTCATTATATGTGCCGTATTAGGAAGAAGCACCACCACAAATTTTAAGGTTATAATGTGGTATTTCGGTTTCAATATATGTTTCGAAGTAGCCTACATATAAAGGCCCATCCTATTTTAGGTATTTTAAAGCCTTAAGTTCGATTTTCTACCAAAGGGGTTTTATTTGACATTCCATGCTTTTCCAGAGATGTATATCTTTGCCTAAATGTTAAATATAAGTCAATGTTTTGGCATTGCCTCCATGCCTTGTTATATATGCAATTTTCACGGTGCTGTAATACAGGGTATTATGTCTTTGTGCATATGTTTGTAACAGGGAAAAAGAAACGAGATATACACATGGTTCCTTTTGAGAATATGCATAGAATAACTTTCTAAGTCGATTTGTACATGTCCGTCTGTCCGTCCGTCTGTCCATGTTAAATTGTAAACAAAGTACAGGTCGCATTTATGATCCGAATTGGACGAAAATTGGTATAGGTCACCTATTTGGCCCTAGGACGAACGCTATTGAATATATCTTTCGATTTGCACAACCTAATTATTTAGGTCTATAATGATGTGTGTGAAGTTTTCCAAGAACCGGTTCAGATTTAGATATAGATCCCATATATATTTTCGTCCGATTTAAGGTAAATGGTGTACCAAAGTCCTATCTATCTTTCGATTTGCACGAAATTTGGCATAGCGTACTGAACTAAGTGTAGAATGATGTGTGTTGAGTCTCTTGAAAATCGGTTCAGATTTAGATATAGCTCCCATATATATTTTCGTCCGATTTAATGTAAATGGTGTACCAAAGTCGCTATATATCTTTCGATTTGCACGGAATTTGCCATAGCCTACTGAATTGGGTATATAATGATGTGTGCTATTTTAGGTAAATGGTGCACCAGAGACCCAAAGTTAGGCCGATTGACACAAAATTTTGCATAACGTACTGAAGTTAATATAACATAGCGTGTGGAAAGTTCAGTTGAAATCGGTTCAGAATTCGATAGAGCTCGCATATATATTTTCTCCCGATTTTAAGTAAATGATGCACCAAGAACTCAAAATGTGCCCGATATGCACAAAACATACTGAAATTAGTATTACCTAACCTGTGACAAGTATCGATGAAATCGGTTTAGATTTTGTTATAGCTTTTATATATATTTTTTTTATATTGTCCGATTTTAAGTAAATGGTGCACCAAACTCCTCATGTTTATCAGATATTTATCCAAATAATCGACATAATTTTGTCCCATGTAAGAAGCAACTCTATATCTGACCAAATGAAAAATTTAGTATGGGTTTAAGAGTAACATGTTTATGGATCCAATTTCATGTTAATGGTCCTTCAAAAATGCGACGTCTGTTAGGATTCATCTGTTGAATATACCCAAAGTGTATCATATAGTCGGACTTCCGAATTTACTACTTTCCTTACTGTTTTTTTTCTGATCTCGCCATTCATCCTCAACAGTTCCCTTAGTATTTTTTTTTTGGGATATTCTCTTCCTTGTTCAATAATTTAAGATACTCAGCACGTTTTAAGGGACCCTCCAATTCTCAGTCTCAAAAAATTTAATTTTGTGTCTTGATTTAATTCGAATTTAATTTCAAGTGAAAATTTCAACAAGCATGAAGTGGCGACAAGAGGGCTTCTCTTACTATCATGCTATTACCCTACAAAGGCGTGAATTTCCGATCCTCGCATCAAATAGGCAAGAGATACGAGATATGATCTGAAAGGAAACATTAAGATCTTTTCAAAGATGTACCTTTATTTATTCATTATTAGCAATGTGGAGCTATATTTCAACAACAAAAACTTCTGCATAGTTTACGTTATTCCTATTAACAGTTTGTTCCGCCTGCAACCGAACACCTTTTTAACTTGTTATTAATTCAAAATGAGTTTAAAGTCTTACCATGCGCCAATCAATACACCATATTTTATTTCCCAGGAATACTGTCTTATTTTTTAAATGAGTTGTTTGCTATTATTATTATTTTGAAAATTTGATCCGACCGAATAGCACAACGCGTTTTTCAAATCCACGTGTCTGATAATCCTCTTAGTAAATTGCGTCGCTGTTAAATGATTATATTTTTGTTTATACAAATTCAATCGTGGATGGGAAACCGTTTTCAATTTGATTTTTTATTAAATTTATACTTTCATTGGCATGTGATTTAAATTTGTAAAAATTATATAAATTTAAAAACAATCATTTAATTTTGAAATTTTTCATCCTTTTGTTATCTGTTATCTATCAATTGGGATTTTTCTCATTCCTCAGCTTATATAGAAACTACCCCGCATATCTGTTTAGTTTTTTGTTGTTGTTTTGGTAAATACTTGTCCTTTGTTGCCACTAAACGATAGCAATCTTAATCGATTCTTTGTTCATAATGACCACAAAAGCATAAATCCTCCGCCAGCCAGCCAGCAAGCAAAAGCAGCTGCCACAGAATACAACATAGATTCCATCTGGCAATACAGCTGGCTTTTTTCCCTACAAGTCATTTTCGTGGCATAAAATCACAACAAAGCTGCACTCTAACCCCTATCCAACACCACCCCGGAATGCCTGGAGTCAGTTGCCTGTCGCTTCGTCTATTGTTTGTATGTATGGTGCCTGGGTTGATCCGGATGCTGCTCCTCTGTTGCTTTTGTCTTCAATCGGTTTTTCCTCTTTTAGTTTTAGTATAAATCTTTTTTTTTTTTTTTTTTTTTGTAAGCTTACTGTTGTGGCAATCCTTATTGGATTTGTTTCCACTCATCACTGGAGTTGTTGTTGATATGTCTTGCTTTGTTTTGCACCTCATGCCCTTTGAAAACCATAATTCTTTGTTATACTCGTGGCCCGAAAAGTCAAAATCGTTTTTCTTATTTCTTCTGTTTATTTTATTTATTTTTAGACACTTTGTGACCAACTGAGCGACAATGGCACAGAGGCAAAGTCGTCGATATGGTTGATTAGTTAATTAGAGACAAAAAGTGAAAAAGAAGAACAATAACGATTTCGGACAATGCCAGCGAAACAATCAGTGGAGGATGCCTTAAACCAAAAAGAAAATCGTGATGGATCCAAGAGAAGCGAGGATATGATTTGTGACAATAAGCGGTAAGTCGCTAAATATTTTCTTACATATAAATTGTTTACCGTTCAAGATCTTAAGAGGCTTAAAAGTTTGCAAAAAATCCGTCATTAGACAAGAAATCTTCAAAAGCCTGGATTTTTATAAGAAAATTGTTTAAATGCTTGGATTTTCAAAGAATTTATTTTTCAAGGACTAAAAGGCGTGGATATCTTAAAGAATATTTTTTAAAGAATTTTTTTCAATAGGACCACTACAAGGCGTGGATTTTTTAAAAAAATATTTTTTCGGCATCCATTCAAGGCGTAGATTTAAAAAAATATTTTTTCGGCATCCATTCAAGGCGTAGATTTAATATTATTTAACAAATATTTTTAACAAACCATTAAAACTAAAAATTCGTATCCTATTTCTTTGGAGGACAAGAGTCAAGATAGCCACCCGCCATCATACGATTGAATGAAACCATGGGATCATAATTCCTACAAGAAAAAAAATCAAAATGTAATTGGGCGATTTTTTTAATAAATGACAGAAGAACTTACGTATAAAAATTTGCATATTTTTGCTTGCGTGGCATATTATGCAAAATATTAAACGAAGAGGCTGCCGAAAAAGCAAGAACCACAGCAATGCAGATATTCTGCAACGATTTGTAGAAATGCACATTGTGCATGGGAAATTTGGGAATTCCCATTTGTATGTTTTAATTCAACCCGACGCGTCTGGTGTTTGAAAGTTATTTAAAATAAAAAGCTCTCTTGACAATTAAAAAATAGGTACATGACAATTAATTCTAAGCCAACAATATATAAAAATAATATTGAAATGACAAATCCAATAAATACCATTTATGGGAAATGATTATTATGCGCGAAATAAACTCCGCTTGTAGGAGCTCCCGAAAAAAATAGTTCTAAAAAAATCCACGCCTAGGTTATGAAAAATTATTCTTTAAAAAATCTACGCCTGTGGTCCAAAAATAGTCTTCCATGAAAAATTATTCTTTAAAAAATCCACGCCTTTATGAAAAATTATTCTTTAAAAAATCCACGCCTAGGTTATGAAAAATTATTCTTTAAAAAATCCATGAAAAATTATTCTTTAAAAAATCCACGCCTTTATGTAGCCTAGGTTATGAAAAATTATTCTTTAAAAAATCCACGCCTAGGTTATGAAAAATTATTCTTTAAAAAATCCACGCCTAGGTTATGAAAAATTATTCTTTAAAAAATCCACGCCTAGGTTATGAAAAATTATTCTTTAAAAAATCCACGCCTAGGTTATGAAAAATTATTCTTTAAAAAATCCACGCCTAGGTTATGAAAAATTATTCTTTAAAAAATCCACGCCTAGGTTATGAAAAATTATTCTTTAAAAAATCCACGCCTAGGTTATGAAAAATTATTCTTTAAAAAATCCACGCCTAGGTTATGAAAAATTATTCTTTAAAAAATCCACGCCTAGAAAAATTATTCTTTAAAAAATCCACGCCTAATTATTCTTTAAAAAATCCACGGTTATGAAAAAATATTCTTTAAAAAATCCACGCCTTGTAGTGGTCCATGAAAAAATATTCTTTAAAAAATCCACGCCTTGTAGTGGTCCATGAAAAAATATTCTTTAAAAAATCTACGCCTTGTAGTGGTCCATGAAAAATTATTCTTTAAAAAATCTACGCCTTGTAGTGGTCCATGAAAAATTATTCTTTAAAAAATCTACGCCTTGTAGTGGTCCATGAAAAATTATTCTTTAAAAAATCTACGCCTTGTAGTGGTCCATGAAAAATTATTCTTTAAAAAATCTACGCCTTGTAGTGGTCCATGAAAAATTATTCTTTAAAAAATCTACGCCTTGTAGTGGTCCATGAAAAATTATTCTTTAAAAAATCTACGCCTTGTAGTGGTCCATGAAAAATTATTCTTTAAAAAATCTACGCCTTGTAGTGGTCCATGAAAAATTATTCTTTAAAAAATCTACGCCTTGTAGTGGTCCATGAAAAATTATTCTTTAAAAAATCTACGCCTTGTAGTGGTCCAAAAAATTATTCTTTAAAAAATCTACGCCTTGTAGTGGTCCATGAAAAATTATTCTTTAAAAAATCTACGCCTTGTAGTGGTCCATGAAAAATTATTCTTTAAAAAATCTACGCCTTGTAGTGGTCCATGAAAAATTATTCTTTAAATAATCCACGCCTGGGATGGTCGTTGAAAATATATTCTTTAAAAAATCCACGCCTGGGATGGTCGTTGGAAAAAATATTCTTTAAATAATCCACGCCTTGGATGGTCTTTGGAAAAAACATTCTTTAAATAATCCACGCCTTGGATGGTCCGTGGAAAAAATATTCTTTAAATAATCCACGCCTTGGATGGTCCTTGAAAAAATATTCTTTAAAAAATCCACGCCTGGGATGGTCGTTGAAAAAATATTCTTTAAAAAATCCACGCCTGGGATGGTCGTTGAAAAAATATTCTTTACAAAATCCACGCTTTGAATAGTCCTTGAAAAGTTAATGTCTGTGTACTGTTAAAAAATTAGATGTTCATCCTTTATATCCCCAACTGCAACTAATATATTCTAACCTCAAACTATTTTTAGAATATTTCCATAACAATGTTTGTTCAACAATACCACCATTTTGTAAATTGTGCTGCCAACGGATTTTTTTATTGGCAAATGACATATATTCCGCCATACGTACATACATATACATATATTTGTCTTTTTAATTATATAAATTTACTCTAATTTAATTACAATCATTTTACATTGCTATTAAAAAGCCTTTACTACATGAACATTCCCAGCAGGATATCTATCCGAAGGGCAAGTGACAATATAAATAAACACCATTATAGCGTATTTTCATTGTGTGTGTATACATAAGTTAAATATACATATACTCATATAATATAATAACATAGTATGTGTTAAACATATGACCGAATAAACGCTACTAACAACCTTTGAATTGAATCTGTAATTTTTT